AAGAAAAGAAAGAAGAAGGATGATGCATTCTCTTTTGTCTGTGTAACTGAAGCAAAATCTTCAGAAGCCCCTCTGTCACCACTGGAAGAGAGGTGCCATTGAGAGCAAGCTGGCCACATGGGACTTTGTGCACAAGATAAACTCTGTGTTAGGCCATGTTTATTGTTGGATTTCTTCTCCTTATACATCAGGATGAAGAAGGGAGCCACTGACTCAGCAACTCTGTGGGTTTTTCAGGGAGCGCCCCTTGCTCATGCTTTGGGTTAAGTCCTGACTGTGATTCCATCCAAGAGGCAGGCCTGCCTGGAAAGATGCATTCAGAGGCAACCTGAGCCTTCTCTTCCAATTCCAGCCTCACCTAGTAAGCAGCAACCCTGTAGCTAGCTCTTTGGGGGTCCATTGCTGGTCAGGGGCTCAGATGCAATATCTGCTCAAGCTTTGCCCCAGCCAGAGCCCTAGAAGCCCATGGAGTTGTGCACCAGGGGAAACCAAGATGGATCCCCAGAGTTGCTTGAGGCTGATCTGAGAATCACAGAAGAGGCTTTTGAGAATTTTTCTCAGGGAACCTACTTGGGAGAGAATGCAGAGAGGAGTTGAGTGTATGGTAAGTGCTCTAATGACTCAGCTTTACCGCCAGGCCTGTGCTGCCCTTTCTCTGTTTCTCGGAAGTTGAGCTTGTTGCTTCTCTTAGATGCTCTACCTACTTTCTTCCTTCCCCTGGAGCCATGTCATACAGTGCTGGTCAAGATTTGTGGGTTAGCAACTCGTAGGGAGAGGAAAAACATTCCTCCTTCTTTCTCCCCTTCCACCTCCCCAAAATGACTGCTTTATGGCGAGAGCTTCCTCAACTTCTGAAGCTTTGAGAGGGTACTCCAGCAACCTTCCTGTCTCCCCCCCCCCCCCCCCCCCACCCCGCCCCAGCCAAGAGCAGACTACTGCAAACTAATCCTTCCCTGTAGTTCAGGTGAGGGAGGCACAGTGCTTTGCGGGGAGGGTCTCCAGGCTACCCACCATACAATAAGTAAGAAAATATGAATACCATAAACTAGGTCTTCCTGCCTGAGTCCCTTGTTATTCCTGACCCCGGGCAGCCCAAGGGCCATTCTGTCGGCAAAGAGCACATCCCCCTCTTGGTTGGGTGGTCCTTGCCTAAGGCTGGGGACCCTGGCTAGAAGGGAGAGCGCAGCAGCCCCTCAGGCTGGCAGAGGCTAATCTCACAGTGGCCTTGTTTGTTGTGTCTGTTGAGCTTCTGCACCTGCTCCACTTGATGAATGACAAACAGCAACAGATGAGCAGAGTGGGATGCTGAAAGCTTTGTCTGTGTTTGCAGCCCACGCAGGCAAGAGCCGTTCCCCTGCCAACGGCCAGGTGGCTGTGCCCAAATATGGAGAAACACTTCAGGCCATTAGTTCTGGTTTGAGCTAAGCAGAATAAACCAATCTTCCCCTGACCAAATGGGAATTAGCTGCTGCCTCTCTGACGTCCACAGTCAAGGTCCTCTGAGTCTGCCTGCCTTACAAGTACCTACTAATGGATTCATTAGCTGTTTGTTTTTCCTCCCCTAAAAATGTAATTTGTAGCAAGGGGAAATCTCCGAAAGTACATGGTGAATTATTAAAGCACTAATCTTTGGGTATTGGGATTATGGGAGCTTTTCTACCCCTTTGGGCTCCTCTGCCCCAATAATTGTTTTTTCTCCATTGTATATCCACAGATTTACTTATTTGTTCACAGAGAAACCCACAAATGTTATTTTCTTTAAGACAGGATTTATCTACCTCTAAACTGGGCTGCCTCAGGATTTGTGAGTCTTCTCAGGCCTTAGATCCATGATTGTCCACCTAGGTCAACCCTGGTCAATTGGGAGGCAGACAGGTCTAATTTTACACAGCCATGATCCCTTGCGACAGTGGTTCTCACATGGCCCTGATCCTCAGACCCCTACCGCCACATGACCTGGGGGCTTTGCTCTCCATCCTTTACAAATTTCCTTATTTTTCATCATGAACGACCTCCAAGAAGCCAGATTTACAAAGCCACAGACACCTAGATATAGAATGTTCTACCAATAGCTTGACCATCGAGTTATGGATCTGTTTGTTAACCGCAGGGGCTTGGTTTCCCTTGGAGAGCCAACCCTTGTCTCCACTGTGGAATACAGAAATCACATCTGGGGCTGAGGCTGAGTGTATACTGTTGACTATCCTGATTGGTCCTGGAATCCCACCCATCCAATGGCTGATTAGCTGGGATCCAGGTTATGTCCTCTGGGTTTCCCTATCTAATCTCTGTGCCTTTGTCATGTGTATGAAAGAGAGACAATCAGAAAAGATCATCAAGAAACCAAGCCAGCCATGGATGGTATGAGAATGAGCTACCCTCCTTGAGCCTTTCTCTGCCATGTTCAGGATCTGATACTTGCAATGCGTCTTCATTTTAATATCTAAGGGTTCCCTTAAATGTCCCCATGAAGGCTTAGCATACAGATCTATGTATCACACGTGCAACCTCACCTACATCCCACACTCAGGCTTAGCTATGTGCTCATCTGACCCTGGTCATGTCACACATAGATTAGCCAATGATGTTGTCCATGCCTCCCAGTGTATGAGTCAACAAACTCTGATGGTACGGGAGGACTTACCGAAGACCAACCACTCCTCCTCAAGTCCCGCCCCTGGATGCAACAGGCTGCCATACCTCCGAAGCCTGTCTTCCAATTCCTGTTGAGGTCCACGCCAATACAGACGATGCCGGGTTGACTTGACTTGTTTTTTCTCCACAAGCGATTCTGAAAAAACCCAGGTCAGTCAGCCTTATTAATTGAGCCCACCTCCAGAGATGGGAGAGCTGACCTCCTGGCCCATGAAAGGAGGAAGGGGTCCTAGTGGGGCAGGAAGGAGCAAAAGGAGGGAGCTCCTGGGGACAGGAGGGGCTGATATGGTGGAGCTGAACCAGTTGGTGAACAGATTGGATCTGTGGTTCAGGTAAGGAATGGTGAGAAGTCTAATCGTAGGTGGTAGAAGCTTCCTTGGGCAGCGGGCAGGTTGTTGGGCAAGATGGTTTTAATCTCATAGTTTGAATACCTCAACAGCCCCCTTTTTGCCAGCCAGGCTATCTGCAGAAAGCTCCTGAAGAAGCCAGCTCCAGAGGCCACCATGACATTTCTCTATCCCAATACATAACTCCAGATGACCATTATTGAGGACCCTCAGCTACCCTTACCATGCTATGAGTAAAAGCAAAGCCATCGGGGTTGGTGACAATCTCTATGAAAATGTCCATAGTGTTCAATATTTTCTTCAAGACATGGTCTTTGCCGTATGCATTGACAATCTGCAAGAGAGGGTGACAGGAGGCGGTCCTTGCCAGGTATCCCTCAGAAGTGCAGCAGGACTCTAAAACAGCCCAGTGGCCACAGGAAGGGGTGGCACTGGGTCATCAAATGTATCCCTGAGGCTATTCCTCAGCTGCCATTCCCAGCTGACCTTCTGTGAGATCCAGATGCCAGTGGCATGAGTAATCCACTCTCGGGAATGAATCCCAGTGTCGATCCAGATAGCCGTGCGATTTGGACCTCCAGTGCTGAACTGGAGAAAAGGATCAGACCACAAAGGTGTGATCAAGACAGCCATGGTGCTGTCCCTCAAAGACACATCTTTATGGTCTGGAATGAATCTGTATGTCAGAGTACTTAACCAGAGACAAGGAGGACATGCTGGTTTACCTATGTACATATGAAGTTTGAACACATAGCCTTTGCCTTACAGTGCTATTCTTGGAAGGCAAAGTCACCCAACCTGAAGTATAGAATTACTCAAGACTGAAAGTATCTTAAGATTTGTGCCTCTCACACTTCTCTGGGCACATGTGTCTCATGAAAATATTAAACAATATGCAGGTTATGGTGTAGTGGATCTAGGAAGGGGTGCAGAGTTTGCATTTCTAATGCATGGGCTTTCGGGTGATGAGGGTCTCCTGATGTACAAAGCCACACTTTGAGGAGCAAAGACTTAGTAATATCTGGTGAGAGATCAAAGTAGAAGCAAGTTCAGTCATGGCAAAATTAGGCAAGGCTACATGACTGTTCAGAAGCACCGGAGCCCTGTGAGTGCTCAGTACCTATCCCCCTTGACAACTGATGCTGGGTACTCATATGGCTCACACTCTGGAGCACAGGCAATGGATTGATTCTTTTCTGGGGCTTGTGCTATTACATCCTGCTTCTATCATAACCAAGGGCACTACAGTGACCGCATTTGTTCACGCTGTGTTCAGTGGCCCCCATGAAGGGCTGGAAGGTTTCTCCAGAGCTACATGCCCATCTATGGGGCTGTCTAAGGCAGATGACCTCAGTCGCTGTCAAATGAACCCTACATGCACCTCTGTTCTCACTTAGCAGGTGAAGCAAGTTTGACAACAGGAAGGGCACTGACTCACCCACACTCACCCTGAACTGAGGTGACAACTGACGATCCACAGCCCTGTCTCTTTAGCACCTTCCACTACTTCCTGCCCAGGTCACCACACTGCCACCTGTCCATACTTACAAGGGTGAGTCCCTGACGACACAAGCTCATGGATCTGGTAGCACAGGATACAGACATCTATCTTCTCTAGCCAGAAACTCCTGCCCAGCTGCTTAACAATGAGCTCAATATTCGGGTAAAGATGCTCACTGTGTAGTCTACTGCCTGACTCAGTAGGCTCTTACCTTCAGGACAAGAATGGACCGATTTTCAAAGCTCTTGCCAATGTTAATTTTGGAGACAAGATTAGAATGTTCAGCTACAAAGCTGTCGATCCAACTATATATCTGAAAATGAAAATAAAGTCTTATCGGACTGGGAGTTTAAGAGGGAGAGGATGAGCCCAAGCATGTCAGCAAATGGGGTTCATTCATCCACCCCCACTTTCTTCATTGCTTCCTACCTCCCCTGGGAGTCTAAAGGAATACAGATCAAGAATTACAAATCCTAAAGATAGCCTCAGAGCTAAAGGACATCAAGTTGTGGCCTGGTAAGAACGCCAGGCTCCTTGTGTCCATGCAGAACTACACATTCACCTCACCTGAGAGAACAGCATGTAATTGAGCTCACTCAACTCCTACAGCTGCCTGTGATACCTCATGTCTGTAAGCCCAGTCCTTGGGAGCCAGAGGCAGGAGGACCTGCATTTCAAACCAGCCTGGGCTTCATAGGAAGATCTGTCTAAAAAAATAATAATAATAAATAAATCCCTAGACATGACCGACATGAGTTTCTCTGTTGAAATTCATTCTCTTGCCTTCACCCTGTGGTCTGTTTATCCATTTAACAGATCTCATAAACTGTGGAGTGCTGGTTTATGTCGTTTTCACTCCTTCTAGACGTAGCAGCTTGAAAGGAAGGGTAGTGTTTTATTTATTGTTGACATCAATAACAGTGACAGTCTATATTAGTTCATTTTCTTGTCATATATATATATATATATATATCAATGAATAAACATTAGAAAGAAAATGGATTCTCCATTACAGGTCTTGGGAAATGAGAAGATTGATGGAGTAGGCAATATCAATAATGTCATGTCCTTTAACAGACAAATGAGGCCTTTTCTTTGGGTTTCTCTCTGGAGTGGAAGTTCCTGTTCTCTTAAACACGGTGACTATCACTAACATCTAGCTGGGTGTCAGTACATCATACATTTTTGCCATGTAAAAGCAACTGCTTATTTCCATGAGCATGGCTTCTCATTGTTCCTGGACTGATGCCACTCATGCCTTCAAGAATCCACAGCTGGGGCCACAGAACACCAGGACTGGTCACAAGGAGATCAATGAGTCACTTAGTCAGGGATGGGCTATGAAGGCGGCCTCCACCTCCTTTGTTCTGGCTATAATAGATCCGCACCTTAATGTGCCAACCAAAGAGCCATTTCGTAGACTCTGAGCCCACCTAGGTGTACTTCTGAGCTGTTGCTCCCGCTATCTGATTCTGGACCCCTTGGGCTATCTCCCACCAAACATCCCTTTGCCTTTGTCTCTTCTCTGTTCTCTCCTATGTTTATAATCTCTATAGTTTCAGAATCCTTCGCTGGTCTCTGCCTGGTCCTTGCAATCCCCAAAGGTTCAGAAGCCTTATTGTCTAGATCTTGCCCAGATGGACCTGCCTCATCCAGAGTATGATAAGAGGAGTAGCTGAAGCTGTTGGTACTGCGCTCCAGCCTGCGGGACTTCGCCATGGCGTCTCTCTCTTCATCCAGTAGCACCTAGCAGATAGGAAAACACATTGGAAAGGCAGAAGTGGGCTTTGGACCCACAGCATTGACACCAGAGGGAGTGAACCACCATGATCGTGTGCAACAGAGGATATATGTGGTTGAAGGGTGACTCTTCATGTACCGACATCCATGCTAACATTGCCCGAATGAGCACAGGACCCATCAGTTAGGAGAGACAGATTTTAAGTCCATCTCTGCTCCCAACTTATGATAGAACTTACTGTAGCCCTGGTTTGCTCAGCTTAAGAATTAGAGCAACAGTCTGTGTTGTACTGCCTCACAGGATAAAATGTAGTGATAGATATGAAGGTATATAAAGAAAGATGACCATGGGTTCCTGCCAATGTTGTTTTGGTACTTTAAAAACTGAACAATGGATGCTGACCACCCTGGGGGAGCAGATGACGGCTTTGACTCCCAACATCAACTCCTCTTCCAGGAAGAAGCTTAGACAACTGCTATCCAAGCCATTTCAGAAAGCCAGATATGGACAAAGCCATCCCAAACCATGATGAGTGTGTGAATATTCTCACCATGTTAACTGCCTGCCAGATACAGCACATGAGTCAGAAGCAACTTGCTTGACAGATGGTTTGCTGTTGGCATTTAGTCTTCATGTAAAGCTTCCCACTGACCACAGGAAGGGAGGACAGTGAAGTGCCTGGGTTGAGGTGACTATTGATGGCTCACACTACCCCCCTGCTGAAATCACTGCTGGGACACTTTTCCCAGCTTAGGTCAGAGTGCGATAGGCAGGTCCAGGATTGACACTGATTATGCAGAGTGAAAAGCTCCTAAGCCCTTCTGCCTGAGGATGTCAACCAACGTCCTCATCCACTCAAAGGGACCTTTCCTTAAGCTCTGGGTCACAGTTTGGATATTGCCTTATTTGGGGACCAGTACCCTTTGGTCTGTGGTATCTTTATTCTCATGTTCTCTCTCACTTGATCTGGTCATCTGACCAGATTCCAGGGAAGGAATTAACTAGTGGTGTTTTAGAGATAAAACAGATTGGATAGTGACAGCTCTTCAATGCATAGCTAAGAAGTGGCAGAGACGAGATAAAAAGCAGATCTTCCTGTTCCCAGCACTGAATTCCTCGAGCCTAGCAATAATAACATATACACACAAGATATGCATATTTGTGTGTGTGTGTGTGTATAAATAATACAGATAAAGAGAGGAACCAGAAGTATGCAGAATGTTAACAACTGAAAACTCTATCATATTATTCTTGCAATTAAAAAGTTTCTTCAAGTCATGAAAATCAAGTACCCTCAAGCACAGGAAAACAAGACATTAAAATGCCAAAAATAAATATAACAAAATGCTAATGGCGCCTGTTCGAATAAGATTAGAATTTTGAACATTTCCCCCTATACTCTCGTCTTACGTTTTGGCAGCATGCTTGTCCTACTTGAGCGAGCAAGGGCTTTTAAGTGAATAAATAAATAAATAATACCAGAACTAAACCTTTCGTGGCTAATGTGAAGTGCCAGCTGCAGTGTCTTCGGTCCTTGGGGCTGGGGGAGAAAGAGGGTCCCCACCCGCTGCTGTGCACGAGGTGACTTGCCCAGTAACTCATTCTTCCCCAAGGGCCCTGTCCACTTGTTCACGACTCTCAACTTCATAGATTACAAATTTAAAAACGGAACTAGAAATCAATGTCTGCGGCTCAAAGGACTTCATGTCTCAGCACCAAGTACACGTTCAGTAATTATAATTGGCCATGTTTCTAGCTAGGCTGGTCTAGCTTGGGGCTTTGCATTTGAGTAAAGCCAGAATGACTGTGTATGTCAGGCATAGCTGGAGAAGGCCTTGTCCTTGAGGGTCACTCTCAAATACCACCCTGGGAAGCTCTCACAAAAGGAATGTATCTTCTTCCCAGGAAATCCACCTAAATCTCCCCAGCCCACTGTGACCAATGTGTGTCTGTCACTGAGGGCTGGCACAACCAGCTGTGATGAGCAGCTGTGAGCAGGCTGACAACTGGCTGACAACTGGCTGACAACTGGGTCTAGGCAGGCCTAGTCTTGCCCTGCACCCAGTAGAATGAAGTTACAAGAGGTTAAACGTCCCAAGATGTAGTGGGGCTTCAGTAGGGGCTAGATGATTAGGGGTGAGGGAGGAGAACTGGGAAGAAAGCCGTAGATGGCCCAGTTCTTGCAGCATGGCCAGAGACAGCCATAGGAAACAACTTTGAGAAGTTGAACAGTCTTTGTTCTAGAAATCAGGTTGGAGGTAAACAGGAGGTTGGCACCAAGTTGCAAATGTCTTTCCAAACCTCCTCCCAGTCCCATGAATGGATAGGACACCCTCCTAGGAGCTGGGAATCCTCCGTCCTCGCAGCTGGACCTCAATTCCAGGAACATTAATCTACCCTGGCCTGAAAACCACACAGATGTTTGCTCCCTTCTGGGGGTGAGGGAAGAGGATAGGAGCAGAGAATGGGGCCTCGAATGGGTTCAGGATGTCAAGCAGTGCTCTCAGGCTCCTCAAGGGAGAAAACAGAATGAGAAGCTCAGAAGTCAGCCATTTACCTTCCCGGAGGCCAGTAACTGCTCTGGACAGTGAGAGCTGGATGTGAATTCACTCATTACAGGGATGAGGAAGGGTGAGACTTTAGGCAGAAAGCAGCACCCCTGCGATGAAGCAAAGCAGCAGCCCAGGACTCCAAAGGTGGAGCTGAGGCCTAGAGAATGCCTGATCTCCTTACAGCCTCGCTCCAACCACAGACCGCCACAAACTCAGCACATGGTGGGGAGCTGTGTGCTTTCAGCAGGCTGGTCTCCGGTTTTCTTTTCTAGAACTAATGTTTGCTACGTAAACCCCATTTCTGGAAAGTGCTACCAACCAGGTATTTTCAAAATGGAGCCCCTCGGCAGTTGGAGCTGAACCTTTGGGCAATGAAACCCAAATTCAAACACCACATACAACCAACCTTCTTGACTGCTGAGGTGATAGATGGTATAAAACAGTTGGTGCCTGGGTCAGGGCTGTCTCAGATGACACACTAATACGATTACTAACCTGGGCTCTGCCTCAGTTTCCCCAGAGGAAAGACATCACTGAATTGCACCCCAAAAGATGTGCGATTAGAGCCCAAGTGGACTAGGTGTACCTGTGCTTTGTCCAGGGCCCTTTTGGGGACGTGAGGGGCAGATAGCCTGCCAAAGGGGATGATGGGAGCGCCAAACACATAAAAAGTCAGTATTTCTAGTTTTGTTTTAGAAGGAAGCAGAGAGATGGATGGTAGCTAGAGAGGGAATCAGAAAGATTTTTTTTTTTCCCAGATCGGCTCAGTAACTGCCTATTTGTATGCTGATGTGGACCAGCCCACAGAGAGGGGAGTTGGTGAAGCGGTATTCATGCTAAATTGTATTCCTCTCTGGATGGTCAGAGCACGGGTGATTTTTGTTTTCTTCTTGTGCTTTTCTCCTGTTTTCCAAATTATCTAACATGAATATTTATTAATTTTGTAATCAGAAAAAAGCCATTAAAATCCCAAGCACTGATTGCTCAAGTGAAGCCTTTCCGTAGTGACTCATCCCAGGGAGGGGGAAAAACACTGAAGGACTGAAAAGAACGGAGAGGTGAAGAAAAATTAAATGCAAATCAAGCACCCTCAGAATCAGATAATTTCTTGCCTGGCCCACTGCAATTTCCCGACCAACCTCCTGCCTGTCAGTCTCCCAGGCCCTGTCCCCAGCTCAGCACAAGCTCAGTAAGAGCAGTGTTTGAGAAACACAAATCTGGTGGTGTAAAAGACCTTTCTAAGTCTTCCCTCTGCTCATTTCATGAGGCAGAAGATACCCTTTACAAGGACCCCAGTCCCATCATCAAATCCGGGTGGGGGCCTTCTTCTCCTAAAGCCCCCCCCCCACTTCCCTGCTTCTCAGCCGCACGCACACATGGGTAATTACTGCTTCACAGAGCTGGTGACGTGCAGTGCCTCTGGTATTCGCTCCCATAGCAACCTGTGCGCACTCCATCAGGGCACTCACCCACTCCACGGTAATCACGCATTTACTCCCCTCCTTCCCATCCCCCACCCCATCCCACTCTCTCTAGCTCTCCTGGATACAGCCCGTGTTTGGTGGGCTTGTTTCTGTTTTCAGTTTCTGTGTTTCCAAGCGCCTTGCCCAACACTCAGCACACAGTAGGCGTGCGCAAGCTTGTGTATGTGTGTGTGTGTGTTTGTGTGTGTATGTGTGTGTGTTTGTGTGTGTGTGTGTGCACGAGTGTACTTGGTAGGTGTTGTGCATGGAGTACAGCTGTCTTTCTAAGTACTCCCAGATGCAGAGGTAGAAAAGGAAAATACAGGTCCCCTCCTCAAAATTCTTCCTCTGGACAAAATCCAAAACCACCAGCTAAGTTTTCCATGATTGACTGTGCCTGGCCCTCACTGCCAAACTCACTCCTTTTTCTTTGCCTTCTCATATATATTAATTCAGCTAACATTTATTGAGTCCTAAACCAAGGCCAGAGGTGCTCAGATGAGTGAGAGCAAAACAGAATCTAGGAAAGACCAATGTATCCATAAGGACCCCTGCACATGTCAGCCCTGGACACCTTGACCATCACTCAAGCTACCTTTATTGAAGGCTCACTATGAGGGACACAGCTAGTACTACAGCTGAGCCTGTGTGCCCTTAGCTCAAATACGCTTGCTCTGCATCAGCCCGGGTGTGCAAAGCTCCTTCTAGTCTTGTCAGTGCTTCTGAGCCTCTCTGACCTGCACCCCTCCCCCGCTGTCACCACAAATCAACCAAGAACAACAGCCTCTCCCCACCCCTGGCGCCCTCAAAGCCACAGAATGACCTCGAGGAGGGCAGCCCGGACTTAATGTTTTGCAGATTGCACGTTGGAGATTTGCTTGCAGAAAGTTAGAGCAGAAAGTTCAGGCATTTTCCAGGGAAGGAGTGACAACTCCCACAGGAGTTCAGGCTCGGGACTTCAGGAAAGGCTCTCTCTAAGAGGAGACAGTGAGGGATGCTCAGGGGATGTCCCCGACGTGCAGTAATCAACAAAGTTTGTTGAGACTTCTGAGTATCTGTTTGCCAAATGCTGCTGGGTTCCCAGGGCTGGCTCAGCAGAAGCAGGGGAATGGGAACTTCAAAACAGAGGCATGGGCTAAAAATGAGAACTCCGTTCTGTCCTTTTGATGTGGTAGCCTCCTTTGTCTGTGTGAGTTTCCCCATTTTTGTTTGTGGGGGATTTAATTAGAGAAACATCCCACCCCCACATGTTGAGCGGGAAAACAGATGTGTCTGTGGAGGATAAAGGACTTTGAATGGGACTCAGTGCCCCAGCCCTGGGCTGCCCTGGGAAAGGAATGTTGCCTAATGCGTTGATCCCTTGGCATGCGGTGTCAAGTGTGTGCGTGTTGAGAGGCTCCCTGTTCCCACACTCTGAGCCCTTAGAGGAGATTAGTGCAAGCAGCATGGTTAGGAATGAGTCTCTGTGGAGACAATTCTACAGGTACAAAGGCAACCACAGAATCTGCACAAGGATGCAGCCTGGGAGCCTTAACATCTGCATGGTACCCAAAGATCTGCTATGGAAGAAGGCTGTGCTACCCATACCTCTTTTTCTCTCTGTTATAGGCATGCATGCACATGAGTATCGGGAGTCAATGGCGGGCGTCTTATTCAATCACTCTCTACCTTATTTTTGGAAACAAGGTTTCTCACTGAACCTGTTGTTCTCTGATTATAAACTGGCTAACCAGAAAACTGGATGCTGTCCTCTGGGTCCTAATCTGGGTCTGCCATACTCCCCTAGCTATTGGAAGACTCCCATCTGGGGGAAATGTTTGGAGTCCATGAGGCACAGAGAGGGAAGCAAAGCATGGCAGGGTTGCATGGGGCTTTTTTCTTCCATAGATTTCTCTAGGACTGTATGTCTGAGACAAAGGGACAAGGAGAAGAAGCCATTAGAGAAGCAAAGGAAGCCATCAGAAGGATGCCTTAGAAAGACCAAAATTGTCCCCTCTGTCTCCATTTTTCCTTCTTATTCTTTGCTGATAGCTGCCAACTCTTCCAGAAGAGGCTAAGTCCACAGTTGCTCTACTTCCTGCCTCCGTGAGAAAACTCTTGTCCCAGACTTACATTTTCTCTTAGAAATGTACATTTTTTTCATGTTCTATTTAGTTTGGTTTGGCTTTGCATGTGTTCGTGCGTGCTGTCTTATTTGTTTGCTTTTTGTTTTGAGACAGGCTGTCAGGTACCCTAAACTGGCCTTGAACTTACTACAGAGCTCAGGATGACTTTGAATTTATGATGCCTTTACCCCCCAAGTACTGGAATTACAGCTGTGTGTCACTATGCCCAGTTTTAAGTCTCGTTCTTTGCAGAGTCAAGCACTGAACCCTGGGTCTCATGCATGCCAGGCAAAGTCTAACAACAGAGCTACATCCCCAAGCCCAGAATGTACAATTTAATTTCTTCTATAACGTATCCATAAACATGCAGCTGCGTACCCACAAGCAAGATGTCTGCTCTTAAGCCTGAGGTTGTCCCCACCCTCCTATGGTATAAACCAACCAAAAGGAAATGTGGGAAGTGAACTCCTCCTCATTATGAGCCAGGGTAGGCTCTCACCTGGATGTCCTTTATCATGACGCTGTAGGCAAGGCCGTGAGACTTCAAATAAGCTTTAACACTGGGTAGTTCAGAGAAGGGAACTCTCATGTCCACGGGGAGGCTAGGTCTGGCTGGGCCACGCCAGAAGTCCACCTTGTTCACAAAGAAAGAAAAAAGAAAGAAACACAGCTGTGTTTATCGACTGTCCTTATACACTCGGTAGGCATCCTGGAGGACTAGGTTTCTTTTATACTTCAAAGGGATCCAGTTCCATAAAAAAAAAAAAAAAAAGAAAGAAAATCCCAGGGTCTACAAACAGGAATAAAGCCCCCTTCACCAAGGTTCCTTCCTCATTTCCTAGTTTATCTCCCTGCTCACTCACTCACTGCACTGCCATCTGGATCCACAGAGCCTAGAGTTCCTACAAGTGAGACTGCCATCACTGGCCATTAGCCCAGACAAGAACCCAGGTGAGGAGAGCGAACAGCACCTCTTCTAGTCCCGAGAGAAGCAGAAGAGGCAAATCGGGAGCCCATGTCCTATATCTGCCTATACATTTGTAAAATGAAGACACTCAGAGAGTGGCGGAATCCCTCATTGAAGGGGACACTTGTACAAATAACTGCAAGCACTCTGGGCCACATCCAGAAAAAGCTGGTTGTTTTACAAGCCCTCAAACAAAAGCCCTCGATTATAATTGTCAAAGAAAATGTTTTCCATTGTGAAAACTTGTAGAGGACAAATGTTCTTGGAAACAGATACTCAGGCTGACAGACACAGACTCAAATACAACACATTTGCCAAGTGAGGCCCTTCCAATTGGAAGGCAGATGTGAGCGGGGGCCCCTATGGTACATGGCACCACTGCAGGGACATCTGCACTTTCCTATGGCTGTAGGACATTGCAGCTGTTTTCAGTGTGTATTCATAATCCCCCATCCATGATAGAAGGGAAAGCTAAAGGAATCACAGCTTACAAAGGCCACCCAACTTTATGGGGACATGTCCCTAACATATGGCAGAGAAGCCAACTTGGGCTTGTCCAGAATCTAGTGATCCTTTTTGGAGACCTTAGGAAGGAAAGTTTGGGATTGGAAGGTGTAAGGGGGCAAGACAAGGAACTGAGGTGCAAGTGAGGCGATGGTAGTGTCCCCAGGAGCAATCCTCACCTTCTGGGGCTTCTGTCTCTCCAGATCCCTGAGAAGTGACAGCTGCTTCTCATTTTTGGCCAGGACTCGAAGAACCTGGTCTCTGGGAAAACATGGGGAGGGTGAAGAAAGTTGTGGAGGCCTCCTGAAATGCTAAGTGGGTTGAAAGAGAGGGAGGACTGAACTGATGAGAAATGGCACATAACAAAGGGATGCAGGAGTGGGCAGATGAATTTAAAGGGGCTGGGGAACCAATGGTAGTTCCTGTGCTACCACCCCCAACCCCTGCCCATGCAAGGGGATATCAGATAACGCCAACCTTGAGGCCAAGGAGCCATGCTTGCTTCCTTCCATGGGGTAGGTGGAAGGTGACAAGGTAGAGTCCCACATCTAGAGCTCCAGGGTCTGAACCTGGGATGCTGCTGGCTCTCGGCCTATCTGGTTCTGGGACCCAGGAGAAGACTCCCTTTCTAAACTGTGCCTCTTCCTTATAGAAAGTCTATAGACGATCTATCTGCCTTCTGGGACACTGGGAAGCCTGGCGTGTATGCTTGAACTTGATGCTTCAAAGAAGGATCACAGCACATCTACTTTTGGTAGGAGTACAGAGTCTAAGAAGGGTTACTCGTCTCCTCAAGAAATTTAGGAGAAATATAAAGCTTCAGCCCTAAAGAAGAACGTGTATAAAATCTATTGCATGCAATTTTCAGAGTTTTTAACTAATTTTTTTAAACTGGCATATATTAATTATACTTGATAATACTTTTTAATATATATATTTTGATCCTATTCACCCCTTCCTCATTTCTCTCTCTTGTCCCCCCACTTCTGATCTTTTTCCTCTTCCCAACCAGTCTCAATTTTAGGGGATCCTCTCAGAGCGCTGAAAACTTAACACAGAGCTTCAGATGTAGAACTTTTAGGTTTAGAGATGGATAGTAACACAGTCAAGATGTCTGGCCTGGCGCGTGAGTGGGAGACCAGGGGATCCGAAGTGGGCTCTGGGTGAGAGCTAAAGCTTTTGTCCGGTCCTACCCAAGAAGACAGACAGACAGACAGACAGACAGACAGACAGACAGACACACACACACACACAGAGAGAGAGAGAGAGAGAGAGAGAGAGAGAGAGAGAGAGAGAGAGAGAGACACGAGAACATAGATCTCCTTCCTCCCAGCCAGCCCTCCCTCCCACCCACCCCCACACCCCCAAGCAGCAGCCACTCACCCTGTGAAATTCACTCGGCCCCAAGCTACAGCCAGGATAAAGTTGCAGAACAGAAGTGTCCGTCTGTCCACAGGGGACAGCCCAGGGCCCCTTCCTCCTCCTTGGGTGCCCCGCATGCCTCTTCCTCCAGGCAAGCTTCAGGTGCTTTCCTCCAGCGTGGGCATGGCCTAGGCTTCACGACGGCGCATCACCTATTGGCCAGTAGGCTGGGCCTGAGAATGGACACGAGACTTTAAGGGAATCTAGCATGTGGTACCCATGGAGCATCAAATCCTCCATCCAGAAAAAGAGGAGTAGATAGTGAACCTAAGCTGTCTCCTCTACACAACTGCTCTTCTGCTCCCCTTCCTTCCATCCGATCACACTGTCACACTGGACATTGGACACAGAGGGCTGTGAGCACCACTGAAGGGTCACAGGACTGAGAGTCAGGATGCTCACTCCCTGTCTAAAGGAACGGGAGCCTTTGAACCTGGTCAAAGTGAACTACCTCAGCAGTCAGGTGGTATTGAAAATACCTTCCTTCCCTTCCTACCTCACAGGAGGCCTGAGGTATTAGATGAGACAGCCTGGATGAACTGGCTTGGTGCAGCCTGTGACTTGTAATATCTTATTATTTTGAAGGCATTAGCCCTTAATCACAGGTCTGTATTCCTGTTGCAATAGGGGAAAATGAAGGGACAGTGTGGCAAAGGGTATATATATTGTATGAGAGAAGAACTTCAGTCAGGACTCCTTGTCTCTGTCAGCAGGCAGTCACTGCTCTACTGAGACAGGTGGAGTAAATTCTGCAGGACCTGAAGGCCGCGAGAGTCTTTTGTATAGTTTTCAACAGACAGCAAAGTCCAATTCTCAGTTCTGCGAAGCCCTGCTCAGTCTCCTTACGGCTTGGGAACAGTACGAATAAAATAGAGGCCACTACACAAAGCAGTCATCTTGTAAGAAGGAAGCAAAAGATGGAGCCTGAACAACACAATGAATCTAACAAAATCTGAAAGAGGTTAAGAAGAATCTGAGCTCACATCCAGTTGTTCTGTCCACAAAGGCCACCTAACTGTCACTAGAGATTCTCAGCAACCCCCCCCCTCCCCACACACACACATACATACCTTCCCACAATGGCCAATTAGCTGGCCATGTGTGGAGAGGGGTCACTCTTCTATTGATAGCTGGCCTGCTCTCCACCCCGCCTGCCTTACTCCATTATTTCATGGGTCAGCTGTTGAGGCACTCCAAACTCTCCTAGAACCCCCAGCTTTGGAAAAACGCTCAGAAAGTAACATTAGCAAACGGCTTAAGGACTTAGAAAAGAAAGCAATTGTACTGCTTTAGTAGCCATGAGAATAAAAGAGAGCGCTGGTAAATAATAGCTCAGAAATTCAGAAGAAAAAAGGTAGGGATGGTACTAGTCGCCGAAAGCACCCAGCATCCTCTTGTTCAAAAGCATCATTTTAAGCCATTAACAATGAGACAACTATTCCTGTACTTGGTTTAGAAATGGAAAATGGAAAGAAAGAGAGAGAGAGAAAGAGAATTAGAGTGAGAACAAGAGCAAGAAAAAAGAAAGAGGAGCGGTTGGGAATTCTGGAGAATTCTACGGCGGCACTTCCAACAGAACGCTTTACGATAATGGAAGCATTCTATCCCGCATCATCTGAGAGGACCATCAACTGGCCCCTTGATACGCCTGAGAAATGTTTGTGTTTTACTCTTATGAATTTAAGTAACCCCATGTAGGGAATGTCTACCATCTCAGACGGCAGAGCTCAATGGGATTTTACCCACCCTCAGAGTAGTATAGCCAATGGCTGAATTTGAAGCAGAAAAACATGTATGTGTTTAAGAAAAATACTTCGCACTGGCTTCTCATTCATAATTAATGGTTCATTAATCATTCACTCAATAAGCAGTCTCCTGGAACATTTATTATGTGCCAAACCCTCGCTGAGCTCTGGGAGTGAAACTGTGTGACATAGTTGTGTCCCTTACATTTCTAATGGGTAAGTTCACAGGAGCACAAAGCAGTGACTGTGCTTATGCTACGGGGCAGGGAAAGGACAGAAAACATGTAGCTGGAAGCATTCTTAAACAAAATTTTGTTGAAAGACTTTTATTTCCTACAGGTAGGCAAGGTTAAACATCCAAACAATCCTGCCCCAAGTGGAACACTCGAGGCACAGAATCCAATCGCTTCCATGATGTCTTTCTCAATACGCCACTGGGGTGCCACAAAAGTAGGTATCTGCAGATCCATACAGTCTTAAAAAGCCATCCAGACAGTTGAGAGGCAAAAAGCCTCCGCACTGGTTCTCAGGGCCCTGACTTCTCCTCAGAGAAGGTGTGCCTCATATCAAAGGAGAGTCTCCATTTGCTCAGAGTCACTCTCCTGAAAATGTTCTTAATTTTAGTTTGATTTCTTTGAAAAGTCTTTGTCCTGCTCTCATTCTTGAAGACGCTTTAATGGATACAAACTCCGCCCGCTCACTGTTTTTCTCTCCACACATTGGAAATAGAACCCACTGTTTTTCTCTCCACACATTGGAAATAGAACCCGCAGGGCTCTGGCTTTTTTTTTTTGCTCTTCGGTCAGTTGGCCTATCTGCTCTGTGCTCCTTGGTAGGTTTTGTTCATTTCTGGTTGCTTTGAAGATCTTGCTTTTCATGGTCTACAGTTTTATTATCATTTGTAACCCCAGGAATGGCAATATGCTTGAACACAGACTTCTGTGTTCTGTCATGCTTGAGACTTCAGTTTCCTGTGTTTGGCTAGTAAATGCTATTTTCAAATTTTCTCACCCATTGTGTTTTTCAAACATTGTCGCCTCTCCAGTCTCCATTACCTCCATCTGGAGCTTTTGATTAGATGGCGGCCTTTTCCTGCCATCCTTTCAGACTTTAAATCATTTTTGTTATAGTCTTACTTCATTGTCTTTCTGGGTTACACATAAAGAGAATTAATTTACATCAAATATTTGTAACTTTCTCCTCAACTGAATTTAACAAGTAATTTAATTGATCAGTTTTACATTTCAAATGCTTAACACATCAATCCTAAAACAAATTTCCCTCACGTCTTGAAGCCTTTGAAATCGAGGCATTGTACAGTTGGGTCACACCTTCTAATAAATGACAGTGGCTTTGAGGGTGCATAAAATTCATGCTGTTTCTTACGATCCAATGCTTTTTAGCATCAATGAAAAGGCATTTACATGTTCATTTGTAATTCTAGTTGCTATATTCTTAAGTTCAGCTAACCAAATTCTTGGTCCTTTCCCTTGAGCTATATGTCCCTATTTTTTTTTAACAGTTACATACATTTATATAGTATACTCTGCTTCCATCTTAACAGACATCTCTGTAATCACCCTGTTTTCTCCCTGAACCTTTTCCTCTTCCCAACCAATCTCTCAGATGGCTGTACCATTAACGAAAATGAAATTACCAGGCAACTCTTGAATGTGTTATCCTCCTGCCTCAGCTCCCAGTAAACTGTTTCCAAGGCCTTAGCCACTAGGACAGCTGTATTTTGGCTTGTTTAAACTTAAATATTCCAGTGTCCAGAGATTCCGTGACATTCCTTTCACCCCCAAGCCTAATAATGGTTACAGAAAATTTAATAAACTGTATTTGACAAAACCAAAAATTATAAATCAGGTTAATGCTGAAGAGAGAGACATTTTAGTCTATCATGCTTAAGACAATAAAATGCTATTGAGACAAATAGATTGGACCAAGCACGGACATAAGCCCGAGCACACTTGGAACCATCCCACTTTCAGACATGGCCCATCGGATCAATGTCGAGCAGACAGACCAGACAATGAATGTGGCTGCAACTCTTATAGATCTGTATGGAGAAATGAAATTAAATCTCTATTATACCACATGCAAAAATCAATTTCAGGTAGATTAAAATTCTTAAATGTAAAGGCAAAGCTATAAAGCTTCTAGAAGGCAGTATGGAGGGTATTTTTTTATAACATCAGAGTAAGAAATAACATTTTAAAATAAATGTAAGAAGCAAGAGAAAGTAAAGGTTTGTTAAAAAAAAAAAGGAATGATGAGCAAAAGTCAACTACATTAAAATAAGGAACCGCAGACTGGTTTTATCTAAAGCTTCGGTGACTTGTGATTCTATCATTATTATCAAGAACAGTATAATAAGAGTAAGGAGATTACTTGAGGCCAGAAAAGGTAACACACCAAGACCCTCATCTCTTAAAAGAATGAAAGAACAAAAAGAAAGAAGCGATTACCAGGCATGGTGCGTTCCCTTGGGATCCCATCACTGTTGAGCTTGAGGCAGGAGGATCCCAAGTTGGTGAGCAGACTGGCATACATAGTGATAGCCTATCTGAAAATAAAATTAAAATTTAATTTATGCTAGTATTTAAAGGAAAACTGTCTAAATCTGTCACAGTGGTGCACACTTATAACCCTAACTACTCAGGAGGTTGATGTAGAAGGCTCACAAGTTCAAGGCCGGCCTGAGCTACATAATGTGTTGGAGACCAGATTGGGCCACTTAACAAGGCTCGATCTCGAAGAAAGAAAGAACAAATCTGTTTTTTTAAGATTCTAAATTAAGAGCTGGGAGGATATATTTGCAACATATAAAACTGATCAAGAATTAATAACCTCAGATTACATAAAGAACATACGTGAATCAATTTCTATAAATTATTTTTTAATGAAAGGTTGCGTTACAGAAGAGGACTCACGGATGCTCTGTATACGGATACAATCAGTCAGATAAAAGCAAAGTACCATCTCATGCCACCAAATTAGCAAAAGTTAAAAAATTCAGCCAATGGGAAGAGTTAACAAAATTAGATGTAGAACATCCAATCTCTCATCTACCCCTGGCAGAGTTTAAAGTGAAATGATGTCAGAAACTGGTAGAATCAGGCCAGGGGTCTAGCTTAGTAGCAGAGCACCTACCTAGTCATGTCTGAGGCGCTAGGCTGACTCCCCAGCATGTGGAAAATATTCTTTCTTGTTAGCATTACATTAGCCCCTGCATCCTGACTACCTGCCTGAAGAAAGTGGATGTGCCAAAGCCCGTGCACAGAACTGGAGAAAGAAGTGGAAACAAGGACCAGGTATGGTGGCGCATGCCGTTAAACCCTGTGCTCAGGAGGCAGGGGTAAGCAGATCCGAGTTCCAGACCAGTCAAGACCACAGAGTGAGACCCTGTCTCAAAAACAAAGACAAAGAAACAGAAACAAATCAATACTGGGAACACACACCCGAGGGGGACAAAACTCAGAAATATCAAGTGAATGGCAAAGACAGAAAGTGTTTGTTTCCATATATGGGCCCCCCAAACAATAGATTGCCTAAAAATATGCACCTATGTGATAATTAAGAGGAAAATCGAGGAAATCAATAGCACAGGTTGATGAGTTTGTCTGGGGGAAGGGAGAGCGTGTATTTGAGGGGCTTTGAAGCTCCAGTCCTTGTTCTTAGGCCAGATTGGACATGTGTCTGATATATTTTTAAATGAATGGATGAATATCTTACATAAAACACTGTGATGTTAAATGTTATGTATAACTTTAACTATACACTCAGGAAAAAAAGAGGAGGAGGAGGACAAACATTGTCATTTGAGCCTATAGGTAAGATAAGGAGGAGTTAAAGCAAGGTAGGAGGGCTCCGAGGAGCCTGATGCTGGCCTTGAATCCATGTCATTAAAGGTATTAATTCCCACTTCTGTCAGAGACCACCCTGAGGGTCTCCAAGATCCATAAGGTGCCTCGGTGCTCACAAATAAAATTCCCAGACTAAATTATATTTAATCTCCACAAGTCCCCTTTGGGTGCTCTACAGAAATAAATATGTCAACTATAATCTTTAAAACAACAGAAAAACAGGAGAGTGCTCTGGTTCACATTGGAATCTGTGATTAACAAAGTTAATTTTCTACAGATCTTTAAAATAACAGATTCCCCTCCAGGACACTCAAATGTGATTGAATTAGCTGAAAAACAGGTTTAGCCTACCTTCCAGAGCAACTCCAAAGATGTGCTTTCAGAGGGAATTAAGTATTGGATATCCCAAGAAAGCAATAAGCTACCCAAAGGTGGGCTAATATTGCTGGAGACGGCTCTCTAAAAAATGACTTCCTCATTCAGAATCCCACACAGTTTCTCACCCTCTAGGAAACCACAGCCACTAACTACACCTCCCTGGTTTAGCTGCTCATTTCTTGGGTCTTCTGTCACAATCCACCACACGCTTGAATTCTTTCCAGGTAGCTGACAATTCATAGCTAACCCCTTGCAGGCTGGGGTTAGCTGTTTGACTTCAGGACTTGTGTGTATAGACCAGACCACGACCTAAGACACATCTATTGCATGTTCTGTCCTTTCATTCACTGGAATGATTTCTTCTAATCTTAGAGGGAAATCTCCCAGTTCCTGGGCCTTTCCCAGTGCCTGCTTCCCTTTCTGCACCCATCGCTCAGAACTCTGAAGCCTTTGTATATCCTGCATCTCCATTTTTAGTTCCTGGACCCTCCCCCTTTCATGAGGATCGCTGTCCTTGCCCCAGTAGTTGGTGACA